CGCCTAAGTGTTGACGACGGGTTAGTGCTCTTAGATCAAAGAATTGTTATCCCCACCTCACAACGCGCAAAAATATTACATAGCCTACATTCTGCACATCAAGGCGAAGTTGGCATGAAGGCACGTGCCAATGAATCTGTTTATTGGCCCGGGATGAATGCTTCAATTCGTAATATTAGAGCAGGTTGTACGTTCTGCTCAAAAATTGCCCTGAGTCAACCAAAAGAGCCAATCAATTTGACACCATCTCCTGATTGGCCATTTCAGCAAATCGTCATGGACATCTTCCATGTTGGAAACCATGGTTACTTAGCATGCGCTGACAGGTTAACGGGCTGGCTGAATCTATACCACTTGAGCCACGGAGAAGCTAATGCCTCAAGGATTATTTCGATTTGCCGAGACATATTTCAAACCTACGGCGCTCCTGAGGAACTCAGCAGTGATGGTGGGCCACCCTTCACATCTCTTCCATTCAAGCAATTTTTGCAAGACTGGGCTGTTAAACAAAGGTTATCATCTGCTGGTTACCCACAATCCAATGGTCGAGCAGAGCTCATATGTCAAAACAACCAAGAGAATCGTAAATGGCAACACAGGAGCCCAAGGATCATTGGATAATAACCGTGCAGCAAGAGCCATCCTCCAATACAGGAATACGCCCATTCAAAACATTGGGCTATCCCCTGCTCAACTACTACTCCACCGCCGACTACGTGACTACATACCATCCACCCAACACTCTATAAGCCACACGCGAATTGGATAACCGCAGCACAAAATCGTGAGATAAGTTTGTCCCGGCGGAACGCTCGTCTCATAGAGCGATACAACAGAACAGCACACACTTTAAACCCCCTTCAAAAAAGGACAAATAGTGGCACTACAAAGACCAACAACCCGTCGATGGGACACAACAGGTCAGGTCATTGAAACCCTCCCCAACCACCAATACCGTATCAGAGTTGACGGATCAGGTAGAATTACCTTACGAAATCGCCGATTTCTCAGGAAACTGGATACACCAACAATTCCAGTTCAAGACCTAGTGCAATACCTGAGACCCCTACACCAGTGCAACAAACAGTCGACGCTGGAATAACATCAAACACTGCTCAGCCGTCTACAATAACACGGACAAAAACCCTCGGGCATTGTCCAGACTACTTCCGCACAACCAGCCAGGTTTAAAGGAACTCATCCCTCCCCAAAGGCCACTACCCACACGCGATGGGGGAAGAAGATGTAGAATAACAATAATAATAAAGCACTTACCGGCGTAAGAGTTCCAACTAGCGTCCAGCTGGCAGACAAAAAATAAAGCAGGTTGTAACTTAATACATATCCTGCAAACTGAGAAATCATGCTAGTATTTATATAGTAATACTTCCACTCAGGTACCAGCAGCCAATCATAGCCCAAGCAATGGACTATCCCACTTTAGCATAATGAGATGCTCCATTGCACCATAAATAGCTCTGTCTCTATGTTGAATTAGTTCTTTACTCAGCTTGCTCCACAACTGAGTGTTTATCTTCACCACGTGATTATTTGACATATGGAAACCAGATTCAAGTGCTCTTTGAAAGTTTACTCCTGTCAAAACCCTTCCCTCAAAAGCTATCAAAGAGGTGCCTAATAAGTGACAACATGTCACTGCAAAAAATGGCGATTTTATGTAACTGATTCTTTTCTCGCATTTCTCGCCCGTGGAACTCCATTCCGTCTCCATGCTTTCCGGCCGAATTTAATCTAGAAAAATTGAAATGCAATGTCAATCACTATCCACTATCCTCCTGATTACTCTTTTTTTCTTTCTGTTCGTTATTAATGTTTCTGTTCCTAAATTTTCCACACCCTCTTGTGTCTTAGTGGCTTTACTTCCTTGCTTGGGTTGATAACGATTTAAGAAAAAAAGGAAGATATAATTTGGGAGATAGACAAACAACTGAAAATGCTCAGATCAAAACTTTGAATGATCATTGGTGCTAATTTGGTTAAAAAGGGAACGAACTTAACGACATTGATTAACATTGGTTTGGAAGCTGATCTTGCTTTCCAATCTATGGTGATCCGTGTGTGGATTTTTGTGTTTCAGGAGCCATCGTTTTGACAGGGTTGCTCCCAGGTATTTGAAACTGGACACTCTCTCCAGTGGTTGGCCGTACATGGCGACGCTGATACTGGTAAATATTTCACTGGAAATTACCAGCTTATTTAGTTTTCTTTATAATTTTTTAAAAATTAATTCATCAAAAATAAATTGAAATGACATTTCCACTTTTTGCTTTTAATCTTTGATTCAGGTTCGAAATAGCAAACGAAGGTTTCATCTTGAGTAACTAATCTCTGATAGAAATTGTCAGGGTCAGAGTTGAAGTGAATCAGAAGTGTCCTGGAAATGTGAAACGTTTTCTGCTTCTTCTCTGGTGTCAGCATTCTTGGGACCATATCTTGAAGACAGCTTGCTCATCCCTCAAACCTCATTTAAAAGATTATGGACCGAACCAGAACTAATGCCTATGGACTTAGCTATCTGCTGGATAGTAAGATGCCTGTTATCCAAAACCGTACGATAAATGGCATCAATTTGTTCATCAGTTCTTAAGGTTTTTGGACGACCTGACCGAGTGCCATCTTCTGTACTGTCCCTGTTCTGCATGAATTACGCAGCCCACTTCCTCAAATGTACATAGGAAAAGGAGTCCACAGCAGGTGTCTGTACTAAGTCCTCACTTTCCTTGGGTGCCATACCTTTCGTTTTCAAATATTTTATAACTGCTCGGTTTGGTTGGGTTTAGCTTGTTTTGTTTTACGGTATATCAAACTCAATGGGTTATTTAATGCCGACAAGGCTTTTATTGCTGGTAATAATTTTTCCAAAAATTGTATTTCTGGTAATACTTTTTTCTTCAAAAATTAATTGCTGGTAATATTTTTTTCCTTCAAAATGTATTGTTGATAATATTTTTTCTTCAAAAATTTATTGCTGGTAATATGTATTGCTGGTAATAATTATTTACAAAAATGTATTGCAGGTAATATTTTTCCTTGAAAAATATATTGATAATATTTTTTCCTTCAAAAAGATATTTCTTGCAATATTTTTTGTTTAAAAATGTATTGCTGGTAATAATGTATTGATGGTAATATTTTTTCAAAATATTTATTGCTGGTATTAAAATATATTTTTACATTTTCATAGCTTTTAGCTATTTTGAGGGTTATAGACAGTTTGAGGGTTAACTGCTTACCCATAGCTGAGACCCTAACAGGTGCTACCACCCCGGCTCAGGGTAGACCTGGGAACACCAGCAATTAAAAGGTGATTCCACGCTCCTCAAAATCTCCTGATGGGAAGCTTTGCTGTTGGACGTAGTTTATCATCTTACCCAGGACGCGGATGTAGTTTATCGTCTTACCCAGGACGCGGATGTAGTTTATCCTCTTACCCAGGACGCGGATGTAGTTTATCATCTTACCCAGGACGCGGATGTAGTTTATCATCTTACCCAGGACGAGGATGTAGTTTATCGTCTTACCCAGGACGGTGACTGCTTGGGCCGCTCTTGTGTCCATTTTTAGATTCATCGCACACCTCTTACCTGTGTATGGGTCTCACCTACAAATTAAGAAAGAAATATAAGTTAGTTTTTCTTTTTTTTTTTTTTTTTTTTAATGGTAGTTGTTGCCATCAGAAAAAATGTTTAGCTATGACTCTTCTTTCTGGGTGGGGCTTAGAGATTTTCATATTTCTGTTGTTACAAGTCTCCCCGTTATAAGTAACGAAATTGTCCTGCATTATATGTCATAGATGATCTGTGATATTACACGACATTTAGACACACTTACTTCTGTTTCTAATAATTTTTCTCTGTCTTTTAATATTGTGCTTAATTTCGAGATGGCATATTTCTCTATTCCATTGCGCCTTCGGAATTCTATGTAAGATTTTTCCATCGTCCGTTTATATACTGTTGTTTATTCTCAAGTAATTTTATTTCGCCACAATTAACATTAATTGGTCTATCCTATTCTGCAACATCATTTAGCAAGAATCCATAAGGTTGAAATTTCGCAAGCCACTTTTGACAAGTTTGATATTACACAGAACCTTCTCCATAAACTGTCCATTTAGTTTAATTGACATTTTTTACTTATTTTAAAATGAAGAATGGTTTAATATACTGCAAGCGTTATATTACCATCTCTTCAATCTAGGAAAAGATAGAAAATAAGTCAATTTTCACGTATCAAATAATGACCGCTGGTATATCAATTATCAAAATACAATAAAATTGATATATTTTTTATTTAAGGTAGTTCATTCGAAACACTCCCGAAGCTATCTCCCCACGAACAGAGAACGAACCTTTTAGCCAATACAATATTTCGTCAAATAGAAGAATTATTCACTATAAAATCTTAAAAACGATTGGCCTCTTGCCAGAATTGTTGAAGATAATATATATTTTACCATCAATTGTTCATATTTGTATTTAAAAAAATGTATTATATAAAAAAAAGTCGGACGAAAAAATGACATTGTATTGAAACACCATTTCTTATATATTTTCTTCGTATTTTTTTTTCTTGGAAAACGCATAAGACTTGCTTGAATGTTTCTATTCAAAACGTAATGGAATCAAATTCGCTCGAATGGTGCAAAGTTATTGGATATCTGTGAATGATGCAAGCGACCGGAATCTAACGAATATCAATGCATTGAATACTTATTATCGGGTGATAAGTTTGCGCGGTTAGCTAGGTAGATATAGATTCGAAGAAATAATTAACAATAAAATAAAATAAGCAAAAATACCAGATAGAATCAAAGAAAATATAAGTGGGCGAGAAAGCAGCGGAAGATGAAGTATAAGTGAAAAAATTGACGGGAGAGAGACACAGAGACAGAGGAAAAAAACAAGAAGTGAGGAAGAGAAGACGAGAGAAATAAACATGGCAGACGATAAAATACAAATAAAGAGGAAAGGGGTAAATCAATGAAGAGAATTAAAATAAAATGGGATAGGAAGAAAAGAAAAGAGTATAAGAGAAAAAAATGTTAGAATGAATATACAAAAGGAAAAATGATGAACAAAAAAGAAAGTATATAAAAGAGAAAAAAAAAACGAGAAAGAGAGAAAAAATGGCAGACGATAAAATATGAATCGATAGACAGAAAGAAAATCAACGACGAGAAACAAAGTGAAAGGGAATAAAGAAAAAAAAAACGTATTAGAGAAGGAAAGGAAGAAAACAGTTACAGAAAAGAAAAGAGAAATTAGATAAAAACGAATATAAAAAAAGAGAGAGAGTGAGAAACATGGCAGATGATTAAATATAAACAGAGAGTAAAAAGAATATCGATAAAAAATAGAAGAGTAAATGATAGGAAATAATGAAGAAAAAAGAAGGATATAAGGAGAGTTGGGGAGAGAGAGAGAGTAAAGAGGAAAGAAAAAGAAAAGAATATAAAGTACGAGAGAGGGGGGATCATGGCAGATGATTAAATATAAACGGGGCGGAAAAGAATAAATCACTAAAAAGTTAGACGAGTAAAAGATAGGAAATAATGAAGAAAAAGCAAGGATATAAAGAGAAAGAGAGAGAGAGAGAGAGAGAGAGAGGGAGAGAGAGAAAGGGAAAAAAAAAAGGAAAGAATATAAAGAGAGAGAGAGAGAAACTTGGCAGATGATTAAATATAAACGTGGAGGTAAAAGAATACGTCGATAAAAAAATAGAAGAGTTAAAGATATGAAAGAATAAAAGAAGGATATAAATAGAGAGAAGAGAGAGAAAAGAGAGAGAAAAAGGAAAGGTATAAAAAAAGGGAGAGATGAAAACGATAAAATATAAATAGAAAAGAATAGGGGTTATGGGGAAAAGAAATAAATTTATGTCAAAATAAAAAAAAACGATGAAGAAAAAAAAAAATATAAATAGAAAAAAAAAAAGCGGAATAAGATCTAGAGAAGAATCAATGAAAAGAAAAAGAAAATAGAAAAAAACATGAATTATGGATAAAAAAGAGCAGACAAAAAGAAAACAGTAAAGGTTATAAATATAAAGAACAAAGTGCGACTAAATAGGCAAAATAAAGAAAAATGATGAAGAAAAATGATGAGCGATAGAAGAAGAACGCGAGGGAAAGAAGGAGCGAGCGAACGAAAGATGGAGAGGATGAGCGAGCAAGATAAATATTGCAGAGGATAAAATATAAATTGACAGTTAAAGTTAATCTATAAAGCAAATAAGAAAAAAGAAAAAGAGAAAAGAAAGAAATCTAGATGAACAAAGAAAGAAACCTGAATAAAGAAATAAAAGAAGAAAATAATAAATAGAGAGAATATGAAGACGAGACGGAGAAACATGGCAGACGATAAAGTTGTAGGGAATAAATAATAAATCTTCGATGTAAAACAAAAGGAAACAAAAAAAATAAAATAAAAGAGAGATATATAAAAGAACAAAAGAAATACATTCGTATAATGAAACCAAACTGTGAGAAAATAATTAAAATAAATAAAAATAAAAGACTTTTAGGAAAATCTGAAATCGATGCGACAAAAAGAAATAAATAAAAAATAAAACAACAGAAGAAAGTAAGAGAATGGAAACAAAAAGGGAGAGGGTGAGTCAGAGAAAGAAAGAGACAATAAAATATAGTGAGAAAAGAAATCAAAATAAAGTACATGAAGAATAATAAAAAAAGGAACAATAAAGTGAGAGAGTGAGGAAGAAAGAGAACAAATATAACAGCAAATTATAATAGTGAGAAATAAATCGACGAATAACAGAAAGAAAAAAAAAAAAAGATTGAAAAACAAGAAATACGATAGAAAGAAAAAAATACTATCAATTAAAAGATAAATCCTATTAAGAAAACAATATGATTGGACGTAGTATAATAAGCCATCGATTTCTCTTGCCATATTTGCCTGTGGTCAGCGTTCTAGCCGTGTTAATAAGTCAAGATTTCAAACGCTGCTTTTTCAAGGTAGGCATGCCCACCGCGCTTTTAAGACTGTCGAACTATTTCTGCTCAAATAAATATCGCCCAACTCTCTGTAAATTAAATTACGAATTCTGTCAGATTATTGTACATCGATATATATATATATATATATATATATATATATATATATATATATATATACACACGGTACAATGTTAAATACATCAATAGTTTACGAAGACATATGACAACTGACAACTGCATATACGCTCGCCAATTTCTCTACCGAATTTATTTATATGTCCTTCGACCATATCCTGTAACATGCTTTCACCTGTATTCACATACATACATGAACACAGCACGAACACAAAAGACAGGCGCGTGCGCACACACACCACACATATATGTATATATATATATATATATATATATATATATATATATATATATATATATATATATATAATAGATAGATAGATATGTCAATAAATAATTTAGTCACGTTTTGTCGACTATATTTTTAATATGATCCTCTTATATTCACGGAAAAGATTCTTAGTATTCTTATTAAAGGAAGAAAGTAAGTTACCATATTGATGCATATTCATTTATTCCGAGTACTTTCGACATTAGCAAATTGTCGTCTTTGGGCTTTTGTTTTGTCAGGTTCTTGTTTTGTCTAAGACAAATTTTATCTGTTTATTTGAATTGTTTTTTTGAAGTGAAAAACGTTAAACGTACGCACTGAACAATTTTCTAATTTTATGATGTAAGCATATTTGTCAAGTCAAGGGAAGTAACTAAGTTATTAACATTGTTTATTTAAGAAAAAACTATTTAAAGCTATTAGTTAAAGCGTAGGTTTTTTAAAACTATATACTGTAAACATTTTAAAACATTTGTGCAGTATTCATAATTCATTTTATTAAGGGTTGATTTCATTTTTTAATATAGAGAGCATCAAGAATTTTTAGTTTATATTCATTAATTTCATGAACTGTATTTTCAACCAGAATTTTTGAAAATTTCGAATAGAACAGGCATGCTGCTGTAATTGTTTATAAATATTAGATGCATCATTCAAATGAAAATTCAACCTCCGAGACAACGTAGTGTTAGTGTGACCAACATAAATATTATTTTTTTGCCTGGAGATACAATACAAGGGACATTAAAATTTGTATATAATGTTGGTTTTCTGCAACACGTTAATTTGTGGGAAGGAATCATTATGAAGAATTAAAAAAGTCCGACAAGTATTTTAATATGTATTGTGTTTATACGTTATTTTTTTATAGATAAAAATACAAATATTTAAGTAAATGCTCTGTTTATAATAAAGAGTATTAACTACATTTACCGACCTGAATATCTGAGAAGTTTTATAGAAAATATGTGCCCTCCGACAGGAATCGAACCTGCACCCTACACAGAAGCGCCATGTAGCCTGAGGCGTGATATTATTTAACACCAGAGGAGCTGTCTGGTTACCAAAGTGAATTTCTCGGACTTTCACGCCGGTAAATCTGTTTAATAGTGTTTATTATAAACAGAGCATTTACTTAAATATTTGTATTAATAAAAATTACTTATAAACAGAAAATATATTAAAATAATTGTCGGTCTTGGTCCAGTTCTTAATATATTATGTCATTTGTTTACGTTAAGATATGCTTCGATCAGATATGGTAGTTGGAGAGAAATCATGGGACATTTGTAGTTTAAAAACAGGAAGTTAACCTTGCTAACCAGACGCTTCATCTATAACTAAATGGTATAGCACGTTAGGCTATACGACGGTTTCGTATAGGATACAGGTTCAATTCCTGTCGGAGGACACACATTTTCTATGAAATATCTCAGACATTAAGGCAGGTAAATGTTCTTAACACTGTTTATTATAAACAGAACATTTACTTAAATAATTGGATCCATAAAAATAACGTATAAACAGAATATATATATATATATATATATATACACACACACACACACACACACATATATATATATATATATATATATATATATATATATATATATATATATATATGTATGTATGTATGGGTGTATCAAAACTGCTTTTGAAAAATTTGGGCGCGGATTCCTCAAACCAAAAGAAGGTAAAATCTCCATATAAGCATATAACCAAAAGGCCATCGTTGTATCTCAACACATCAACCCATAACGAGTGTTCAAAATGCCCTCAGCTTACTTCTACACATGCGTGCACCCGCCGGATCACTGGCTTGCAAGACTTTCAAATATTCACACACTAGTTCGCAGGCCACCATGCATTATTATCTCTGTATAAAACAATTGTTGAAAGTGGCCCCACAGAAAAATCCAAATGATTAAGGCCGGGGGAACGTGCAAGCCATGAAACTGGTCATCCCATACCTATCCATCTTTCACGTTAGCCAGTGCATCGCGAACAATGTGACTAAACTGTGCCTGTGCCCCATCATGGATGAATCACATACATTTTCATATTAACAGGCATACATCATCTAGCAGGTCTGGAAGTGTGTTCGAAATAAAGACCTTGCATACAACTCATGTAAGTCTTACTGGGAGAATATATGGACCTATCAGACAGTCATCTACAATTCCAGCCCACATATTAATCGTACATTAAGGCTGGTGCCGAGCCTGGATTGTACCAGGGGACTGCGATCTGCCCTCAAATGTTGGTTGCGTAAATTTTTTATTCCATCTATTCCAAATATTGCCTCAACCGTATAAAAGACACAAACATATTGAAGACACAAACAATGGATCAACAGTTTGTGCACTAAATCATCGGCAAAAGTCAACCCGTGGGATTGATCTGAGGGCGAAAGATCCTGCACATGTTCAAATGATGCAGATACAGTCACTGCTCTTCAAGTAGCCTTTATGCGGTACTATGAGATGTTTGAAGTGATAGGGCCACTTGACGTATGTTGATACCGGAAGCATCTTTGACATCTTGTAGAATGTGTTCTTCGTGGACAGGCGTACGAGTGGTTCTTGGTTCTCTGCGATCCATTTTTTTGGTGCCACAGATCCTGTCCCAGCAACGTGTCGATAAACATCTGCAACGGTTGTATGACTCGGCTGCATTCGGTCTGGACACGCAATCTTCTAGAGCCGCGCAGCCTCGCATCCATTATCATTGGTGCGGTCGTTTGTAAAAATCATATCTGCCTACTCACGATATGAATATCCTGCTATTGTTAAACGGGACACTCTCAGTTAACTCACTACAACACACTTTAAACGTTGAAAGACTAGTCACAAATTTACACGAATGACAAATGTAATCTAGTCCATATAGCAACTTTAAACTTAACTCTAAAACGAAAGGTGTGCGGATATTTGATTATATGGGCCTTTACCCATGTTTTGGAACGGAGAACCCGACCATAAACTTAATAATGTATTTATGATACACCATGTATATGTCTCTGCGTACGCGTCTGTGTGAATAAACAAGCAAAGAAACTAAAGTTGGCTGTGATATATATATATATATATTAATTTTCTAAGCGTTGCTTAGATGTGGCACACAATGAGGATCGAACTCACTATTCAGTCGTATTTGTTCTAGCGAGACAAGCTCGTTAACCATTACGCCACGCCAAAATGCCCACATAGTGATTTTCCAAGCGTAGCTTAGATGTGGCACTAAGCACATAGTACCGGGCGCCCAGTGAGGATCGAACCTACTACTCAGTTGCAATTGTTCTAGCGAGACAAGCTTGCTAACAATTACACCACCTTGAGGTACCCCAACTTATTTATTATATGTGTTTGTAAGTATCTGTGTGTGCACGGGCATATATGGGAGCTACATATACATGTAAATAAGAAATATATTATATATATATATATATATATATATATATATATATATATATATATATATATATATATATATATATATATAAAGGCTCTAGAGTGATATGGGTATATGTGTTCATATGCATGCCCAACTATATATGCGTGTGCATATATATATATATATATATATATATATACAAACACACATATATATATAATTTACTTTTTTTCAAACAGATTTTAATCCAATAAAACTTACAATGTTTAAACTCATATAGATCATAACATATATATATATATAATTATTTTAAAAAAATATGATTCCTTCGCTACATAAGAGTTCTCATGTTTCAAAAACGAGAGTCGAAACCATCAATATCCTTATTAAAATTAAAGTGAATTAAAGTAACAAGCCCTGTTTCATTCTCAAGCGAAAATTTGACTGCAACAACTAGTAAAATCTGTAAGTCAAGAAAAATTTTCGATGAAACAGGGCTTGTTACTTTAATTCAATTTAATTTTAATAATTGTATTGATGGTTTCTGCTCTCGTTTTTAAAACATGAGAATTATAATCTAAGCTCTACTTCGCTATTTTTCTTTAAATAAAAACAAAGATACTAAAGAACACTGGATTATTTACCTAACGTGTTCTTTCCTATTTTTCTACATACCTGCATATATATATATATATATATA